CGTGTGGACGAGGAATACAGAATTCATCACGCAACGTCAAAGGTATGTGCCTTTTTTCACGTCAGCTGTGCGCCACGTTATTGTTTACATGAGATGAATTGCAGAATGGCAGATAGTCAGATTAACAGTATTTTGTCTCTATCTTCAGGTTTTACACTCTTACATATAAACACGCAGTTACTGTTCCTCCATTTACAAAGGCAGAGGCGTCACTGTGCGATTATTTTACATATAGTTGTTTTTTCCTGTGTAATAATATTCAACATTGCTATCAATATATTTTTCAAAAAATGCCTCTCTGTACAAAATGGGTTTAAAAACATAAACAGCTGTGGGATCCTGTTTGTCTGTGATTTAGACAGGGGGAACAAATCGTGGCAGGATCATCCTGATGTTATTTGTATCCCGCTGTAACTTTACTGTATAAAGAGCTAACATCTCCAATATGTCAGGAGTAGTTAGTCATTACAACAAGTGTTTGTGAACTAAAAATCAAGAATGTGGGATACTGTTTGTCCGTGATTTAAACAGCCCAGCGCTGCTCCTGACGAAGGGAAAACTAATTCTGCAGGGGAGACCTACCTCGGCACTTGTGCAGGTGAAGCCAAAGGGAAGATATGCTTCACCGTATTTTCTAGTCTTTGGCTTAGAATGAAGTTGGTTTGGAAACATATTCAGCTATGCTTCATCTCCTGCTTTGCCTTTGTGTAGGCGCCCCGTGCTAGCAGTGTCCATGCCGCGCCCCCCCTGCAATGGTTCTGCGCCCCCCACACTTTGGGAAGGTCTGGGTTAGACTAATCTTTCTGTCAAACTCTTCTCTTGTTGCTCTTTTCCTCTCTTCCACTCTCTGTGTGAATGCATTTAAGTGAGTGAGCAGCTAACAACGCTTTTGTGTTTCAGGGATGGGATTCCTCTTGGCTTCCTTCCATCCTTCGGTCCTGTTCACCCGGAGATGATGAGAACATCCATTTGTCATTGTCTCATTGTGCTGCTGATACTTAGGCTGAGGGAACACATTCAGTTGTCGCCTGATTGCTGATTAAGACCGTTAGTGATGTTAGTTCCCCATGTCCGTATTTTTGCTCTGTTTTTGACGGTGACTTACACTTGCCTGTTTTCTTCCTCTGTGCAGAAAATCCTGGTATGTTCCTGAGAAAGCATTTCAGAGAGACAATCTGTTGTGTAAAGAGTTAGTGAAGGACTTGAACCGTCACTAACCGGAAACCCTCATGTTTGCCTTTTGTTTCTGTTCATCTTGCTGTAAATAAACCTGAGTCACCCACTTTGAGTCCAACATGCTCCATAGTCCACAAAACAAATTACATTTTAAGGGTAAACCACTCTCTCTAGGGCCCAGTGGAGTTATGAATCCTCTGCAATCAATACCATGACATGAGTGACCCCTTGCTGGGCCAGAACCGTGGAGAATTTTGTGTCATATAATGTTTATGTAAGCCAGTGTATGTAAGCCGACTACTGTAACCATTAAACTAGTTTTTTTAACAACCCGAAACCATCAGTAGAATTAAAGAAGTTAAAGAAAATTGGAGCAGACGATGTTGAGACTTATTGCCCTTTGCCTTCTGTTGTTCAGCTGATATCTGTCCACTTATCTTCCCTAATTAAAGCAGACTAAATCATTCTCTCTTATGGCACTAGCAGCATGAAGCCTGCAGCTACAGCACACAGCTGTTTCAACTCTGCAACACAGTGTGTGGTATTGCAAGTGCTGGGTCTAATTTTGTGGTAAAAATCTACATTAGCATTCACTGTGTGCAGCTTGGAAGCGAGGATGGGCAATCAGATCCCAAAAAACTAAATCTAGGACACATAAATGCAAAGAACTTGTCTAATATTCTTCCCCATGCAACAGCAAAAATGATGATAATAAAGACAAAAACTCTAGGAACTGCCTTCCACAGCCTTACCTTGTATGGAGTATTTCTCTCTCTTTATTGTAGCTGCATTTCCTTTTCTTTGTAGTAGTCTTCAACATTTTCCTGTCAAATGCGCAAAGCCTTTGACTTTGTGGTGACTCACAATGTCCCCTGTTGGTCATACTCTAACCTAAATGTGAGTGATGTTGACAGTCTTCTCTGCTTTCTTAGCAGCCATTGGATAAAAGTAAAGTGTCTTTACAGCAGATGCAAGTTTTCGAAACTTGAACCAATCAAAATGTGGGACACTGCCTCAGTTTGGGGGATGGGGGATGGGCAAGGGACAAATATGCAGGACAAATCCATGTAAACAGGGTCACCTGCACACTCTAGGGACAGACAGCGGCTGGCAGCTTGGCTTTTACCCCACAATTGAATATCAGAGGACCAACGAATATGTCTCAGTGTCTCAGGGATGTTCAGGTAGGATGATGGGAAATCTCTAATAATGGCTTTAATGTAATGGTGCATGGTCACATTCTTGGTGTATATGGGTGTTTTCAATTCAATTCAGATTTTTTTTTTATGTAGCACTAAATCACAGCAACAGTTGCCTTAAGCTCTTTTCTACAGTAAGGCAAATAGCCTATGGTGTTCTGGAGAAAACCCCAACACTCAAAGGTCCACTGCTGCATAACTAAAGGATGATTCAGGGTTGCCTGATCCAGCCCTTACTATAAATCTTATAGAAAAGAAACATTTTAAGTCTAATTCGAAAAGTAAAGAGGACGCCTGTCTCCCAAATCTAAATAGGGAGCTTTGTGTTGCTAGTTTCATAAGCGTGTTCTGTGAATAGACCGGTATCCCGAGTGAGAGAAGCTTGATCAGAGATTGTTATGGTTGAGCGGTACATGTGAGCACCCAGAGAAAGGTGCAGCATATATATGCTGACAACATACAAGAACCTGCTCTATTAGGGTGCAGACCATCACTCTGATAAGCCCTCCAAGCTCTCAGAACAAGTTAAAGTTGGCTATAAAAGTCATCTTGTAGTTGCAACAGACTGACTAAGCTCAGCAAGCAACTGAAATGACCCTCCCTGCAGTAGAGAGTAGGAATTGTGTCTGAGATGAAAGTGCGGTAGTTCAGAGACTCCATTTGATCCGACATGGACTACAACATACTTCAACTTAGCGTGGTCCCATATAGTCCCCGGAATTTCGCTGTCTAATTCCAGAACTCAGGTATCTTCATCCCGATATTCCAGGCAACAGGGTCTCATATAACCACGGCCGTGAAGCAGGATGGAGCAAGAATCAAGGTGAGGATCAGCTGTGGTGTCATGGAAGGACCTGGCTGTGGATGGACTGTGAGATGGTGCACAAGACCATGGAGAAACCAAGACCGTGGCATCTCTTGTGGAGCCGGGGTGACAGCCAGTGGGGTGGCAGGTTTCATTGAGGAGCCTGGTCTAGTTAAATTGCCTCCAGTGTTCTTCAATGGAGACAGAGGCTTCTCATTAGTGCAACAAAGTCCCAGTCAACTGGATGCTAAATTTGTTGATTAGCTGGCTGTCCTGGGAGCGCGGGCTGGAATCTGGACACTTTCTCCAGTACTTGCTCTTTCAGGTTGTGGTCGCAGGCTTCACTTGCTAGGCAATACTGCTCACTCGGTCTACTTTGGTTTTGGCATCCAGTGTGCTCCAGTTACGATAGAGTCACCTTCTTGGTAGAGGGTGGCAAACCTTTGGTCCAGTTCGGTGACACAACAAAAATAAAACTGAGTTAAATGCCTGATTCTGTCTAGATCAGGACGCAGAACCTAATTGCCTGATTTAAAAACAACGATTGAAAAAGAAATGCTAAATTATTTATCTAGATTTAGAAAATAGTCCTACAAGACCCACTGTTAGACTAAAAGTACACCAACAGAACAACACACAAGCACAGTAGTGAGACACACAATCTCTTTTTAAATTAACTTTGTGTAGGTTTGTAATACAACCTACACAAAGTTAAATTCATGCAACACCTTTCTGCATTCGTTTTTTATTAGAACTACTGGTAAACATGTGTCAGGTTTCCTGCGAAATTGAACCGTCATGCCTAATATCCCCTTTGTAAGTGCACATTGTTAAAGTTATAAAGAAAACAGTCAGATCATACTTGAGAGGAGCTCACTTTGGAAGGAGAACAGCCTGCAGCTGATGAATGTTGATTTCTTTCAGCCTTGTGATTAATTTATCAGCTCACTGCGAGCAGAGAGACACCACAGTGTTTCAGTGATTTAGAATTCGGAGCACTGTTCAAACACTGGCCTCATTTCAAAACACCTTTTTTTTTCCTACGTAGGAATTGTTAATACCGGGAATAAACGCATGTACTCTCAGGGGAAATATTGAAACAGTATCCAGCTTATTATGATATTAAAAATAAAATGATAAACTGATGTTTGACCATTTGAATCCTTCTGATTAAATATCTTCTTTTTAATCTTTTTCTTTTCATTTTGGTGTTAATGACCGTTTTGTTACAGAAAGACATTTTGACGTTTCCTGCAGTGATGAATAAACTCATTGTCTCACTGCTTTCCATTAAAAATTTTTTTGAGAGAACATTTCCTCCGTGTGAAGCTCTCCGCTGTGTGCAAGCGCGTGTGCGTGTGTGTTGTAAAAGCCAGTTTCCTAGGTAACCAGGAGGTTGATTCTGCTCGTGTCTTCAGCTGCAGGGAAGCAAACAGTTTCATCAACAGAGGGGTCAGATATAATGCAACATCCACAATATCTACAGTGTGTTTCTTTTACTTCGCCTCTGCACACACACACACACACACACACACACACACACACACACACACACACACACACACACACACACACACACACACACACACACACACACTCTATCCTTTACAAACACACTTCTCTCTCTCACACACACACACACACGTACAAAAATTAGACAAACAAGACAGGCGAGTCATCTTCTGCAGGAGAGTGACGGGCTATGACTGATGATGCTGACATCCTGTGTGATTAATGAGCTGCTCACGGAGGTCGGTCCAGTTTACGAGAGAGAGCAGTATGAGAAATCAGGCTCTCTTTCCAGTTCCAGTTCCGGGGGGGCATGACTACTGTTATACTAAAAAGACAAACGCCTTCCCTCCTCCCTTCTGACCATTTCAAATTTTATGCACCAGCAAAGCCCACAACGCTGATATAATTTTTTTTGCAGCCCATTCATACTGCTCCTGCCTTTCGTGTCCTGTTATGACAAACATGATGATCGAGTGTGTTTTTAACAAGTGATTACATGTATTTTTCATAGGATTAGCTTCTTCGCCGGCATCATTAGTAGCTGAAGCAGCAGCAGCAGCAGCACAGCACGCCAACGCGCAAAACTCCGGAGCAGGGAACCGATACAGCGGGAGCGCGCACCACAGGCGCGCATGCACAGCTGTCAGGACCAAGGACAGCAGCAGCAGCAGCCGCTCAGCCCGGAGCAACCAGCGCGCCACGCATCGGTGCTGAGTTCGGAGAAAGCGCACGGGAACAGAGGCTGGAGAGAGCGATACTCGCCCCGGAGAGGAAGCCGTAGAAGCGTGGGCTATGGTTTAAGTCTTTGTGGCTGCCACTAGAAGGTTTTGCAGCTCCTCAAAGGAGAGCAAAGAAGGTGGACAATGCGGGTTAGATGTCCCCGGTTGACAGCCTGTCTCTAACATGATCATGCACATTCCTCCGCATTGCATATAACCAAACCACCTTTTTTTGGACAAAGTCTTCCTCTTCCTTTTTTGGCCTCCCTCCCTCGCTATCACCGCCCACCTGGATTGTGCCTGCAGTCGCGCATTCAACTGGCTGAGCTGTCCAGAAGCTGGTCGAGCCGACCCGCCACCGGGGAGAAAAGCGACCGGGCTGCGCTGTGCTGTTTGGTGGTCCACACGATGCGTCTGTTTCTGCTGGCGGTGCTCTTCTCGTGCTCCTGCGCGCGGGCCGGCTGCGAGCCGAAGATCGTGAACATCGGGGCCGTCCTGAGCCAGAAGAGATACGAGCAGGTCTTCAAAGATGCCGTGACCCAGGCCAACCAAGTCTACGGCAGGGACAAATTCAAGCTGACCGCCATATCCGTAACGCATAAATCCAACGCGATCCAGATGGCTCTCTCCGTCTGCGAGGACCTCATCTCCAGTCAGGTACAGTTTACTGCCAATGGGCTCTAGTTGCCTTATTCATATCTTTTAGTATATTTGCCACGAGCTAAATGGCAAGTCCACCTACCTAAAGATAGTTGCATCCGGGTGTCTTTGAGGGACTGCTTCTTAACAGAGAAAGTTTGTGCTTTCGGTGAAATTGCTTACATTTCAGAAGCATCTTTGTTTTTTCACCTTTGCACCGTTGAAGGGATTGGTTGTCATAACTAGCTTATTAGTCTCAAATTCTGAATTAAACCTAGACAGACTATTTTATTAGATCTTCAGCTGCAGAATATCTATCAAGCAGGAACATGTTAATGTAGGGGCAGGAAGTTAGACTACATATTATGCTGGCCTTCTGTTGTTCCATTTGGCACTATTCCACACTTTAACTCACATTTTAGTTCACTTTGTATAATACACTGATCCCTCTACAGCTCCATCTGTTTTCCAGAAATCCAAAAATAGGCTGTGGTTTGGGGCAATAACTCGGATGAGAGGGCAATTGTACTTTATAGGACACCCAGCTGCAGAACAACTCAACTGCAAAGGAACCAGTCAGGAGTGAAAATGTGCAATATGTAATTTGTGATTAATGGCTTGGCTCTGACCGTGCGTGTTGCATGATGAGTGAACATTTTGGCAAAAGGAGGCTGGAATGGTTTGAGGTAACAGTTTAGTATGTTTGGTGGATAATGACCTCAGTTCCTCTGATAGTGATCCGAAGCATGGGTGGCATGAGAAACTGTCTTTGTAAGGTATACTAGGAGGAGGCGCATGTTAAGAATGACCTGAAATGTGAATTATCTCGGAGATTCACGCCATTTGTGCTGCAGATGTAGCCAGCAAAACATATGTCATAAGTAATACATGATTAGAGAGCGTGCGCCTTTGAGAGTTGAAGCATGCTGACAAATGCACCGACCATCCTCTCGTGGTGATGCTCAACACAGCTTTTAAAAAGCGCCAACATTATGTCACAGCATGTTGAGGCGTGAAGTCCCTCTTGCTCTCACTCTTCTTTCTCCCACACACATAATTAAGCTTTATAAAAAAAAGAAGAAAAAAACACCCACAGCTTCAGTGTTGCTTTCATGTCCCTGGTCCTCTGCTTAATATAATGAGTCTAAGAGACACAGGCTTGTAGGAATAAAACCATCATATTCTGTCTCTGTCATACAAAGTAAGAGTGTACAATCCACCCACATGAGATTCTAAAGACAACACCAACAATGTTCTCTGTGTCCCCCGTGAACTTAAGGGACATTAAACTGATTTACAGTGATTTATTGGGGATATTGTTTACCTTAACTACCTGCCTAACCTGACCTGACCTTAAAAGACCGCATTATGTTGAAATTTCAGGTTCACACTTGTTCACCATACACATCCTCACAATGTGATTGTGTATGAAGAGCAATAGTCACACACACACACACACACACACACACACACACACACACACACACACACACACACACACACACACACACACCTCTTGTGAATGAGACTAAATCACACTTGAATTGGACAGAAAGTCTATCGAAGGTGTAATCTGATGAGATCAGCTAGTAGGTGCTAGCAGTCACAGAGGAGGGAAGACTGTGGCAGATGGAAGAGTAGATGCCTGGGAGCAGTCCTTGGAAGATAGACCTCATTTTTGACCCAACCATACGGACTCCTCATATCCAATAATCCATTCCCGCACAGCCATGCCAACTTTATTCCCCTTCATCCACATCTCCGGGGCATTTCTCAAATCGATTCTCACATAAATTCATCCTTTTACTTGAGTAGTTGGTCAGCTTGGGCTCACTTTTTGCAGGAATAAGACAGCACAAATTAATATTAGTCTGCCAGCCCACACAGTGAGCATCATCTCAAGGAGAAGTTTCTTTTTTGTTTTTTTGCTTCTCTATTTTTTTTGTTATAGATGTGGTTGCCCCTGGCTACAATTTATGTCTAGATTCAAGGTTCACTGAATGAATAATGAGTATATTGCATGTTAGGCACACAGAAGTTTCATTCAAGCTAAAAAAATAAATAAATAATAAAAACCCTGATGTTGCCGCCAAGGCTTAATTGCTGGCTCTGTCTAGTGGACAGCTTCCCCAGGGCTATATATGCTCACTGGCCTCCAATGTCCTAGATTCTGTGAAGCAATCAGTTTGTGATCAGTGATTAATTCCAAATAAAAACTGAAATGAAAAGACTTTAACACAATTCCTGCATTTTAATCTAGTCTTAAAGGGAAACTGCACATCAAATTGCACAAGGATGGAGACATACACTTCTTCCTATTTAGTAACACACACACACACACA